AGGTCCAGGATTCAAGCCAGACATTTGGTCATGTGGAATCCAGCTGCCTTAACCACCATGTTACCAGCTGGCCCTCCTCTTCCAGTAAGGATGAGTGAGTCCTTTCAAATCAGGGGCCTCCTGCATCTTGATAGCATGTCCCTACTTCCAAGTAAGATCACTTTCTGGGGTAGGCATCAAGACAAGGACTAACTTTCAAGGGGAACACACTTCAGCTCCTACCCTAGGGTGTAGGGAGGGCTGAGCCGGAGGGGCGGGTACAGGGCAGGGGCTGGCTGAGCAGGGAGCCCTCAGACCAGACCAGATGGAAGCCGCCCTCAGAAAGGAGCTGCTAGAGGGAGGGAGTCTGGAGTGTGGTTAACTCCCGGGGTTGTTTAAAACCGCCCTCCTGCTAGAAGGGGGCGGGCCGCGTGGGCAACTCACTCCCGGACTTGATTTTCCCCAGAATAGACCAGGGTCCCTAGAGTGGAGACTGGGGCCTGGCCCCCTTTGAAGTGCAAATGCAGCCCTGGGTGCAGCCCCCCCCTCAGAATAATCAGCGCCTGCATCTGCTGCCCCAGCTCCCCTCCGGAAGTGCGCCCCGCCAGCTGCTCCACTCTCTGGGTGCCCACTGGTGAGGTCAGGTGGCTGGAGGATCAGGCCCCAGGCAGGCGTTGTAATCGCCACTTAGCAGGGAGGGGAATTAAGAAGGCAGCCTTCAGTGTGCAGCAGCTGCCAGGGCTCCCCTTGGCTTTGATACCTGCTGTCCCGCTGGCTGGCTGGCGAGGGGCGGGGAGGGCTAGCAGCCTTTGTTTGTTGGCAGCCTCCTGCCAGGGCCCTGGGCAGGCGGCAGGCCGCAGGGCAGGCAGTTTGATAATAATTAGGGAGTGAGCTCTGGTGAGGACACCCAGCCCCCCCACCCCCCACCAGGCAGAAGGGTCCCAGCTGCTGCTATGCCCCACCTCAGGCCCCTGGGCTTCACAAAAGGCCAAAGCCTGCCCAGACGATGGGGATGGGGGTTCTCCAAAGAGCTGGGATTGGCCATCAGGTGATAGTGCACTCAGAGTGTGGGGCCCGGTCAGGTCATCTATCCTCAGCCTTGGTGTTTTCTGTGAAATAGGGGTGATAATGCTTGCTAAACAGTCCTTCCATGGAGGCGTGGGAAGTGCATGAAGCACCTTCCAAAACTTGGGAAAATGCATTAAAGTACGCATTCATTCTGGTGCAAAATCTTCAAGTCCAAGCACGGTTCATTCATAGCACGCATGTCTGAAGGCTGGGAGACCCTTCATAGTTCCTCATGTGCACATGCAGCAGCCCTTCATAGCACACGTCAGCAAGATTTAACAGGTGCCTTCCCGCACGACACACAGAGCCCCGGGAGTCCCGGCCACGCTCTGGAGGGGCCGGTGAGGGAGAGCATCGGGCAGCTGGCTCCTGTCCTGGGTGCTGGGCCTGGCTGAAGAAATGACACTTCCTCCTCCCGGCCCCACCTCGGAGCCCCTCCTCAGCCCTGGGTGCTTCCAGGACAGGCATCACCGGAGACACAAGGCCACCAAGTGACTGCGTGACATCTTCAGTGACCAAACCCTAAGCAGTGTACCAAGGCCTTGGGGAGCGCATGTGCCCTATAGCAAAAGTCTCTCTTAAAAATAGTAAATCAAAGCAGCTTAGAAGTGGCAGCTATTTCAAGCGACGGAGGTTTTCATCTGGGAGAACCTGGGGGACAGGCTGAGGACACCTCTGTATGAAGTTACCGGGAGGAGAGTCTTACCTTGATTTGGGCGCCTACCCATCACAGACGGCCATCCCGGAGCGGGCTGCTCCCTGGTAAAGTTCTGCCGTCACCCACTGACCTGTGAGAAGCTGTTACCAGGAGTGAGCGGGCCCGGGCCCTCTGCTGCCCGCCGACGTGCTCTCCTGACTCCAGTCCAGGGCTCCTGGTGCCCACTTGGTTGCTTCAGCTTGTTTTTATTAGAATATGTTTCCTGAAGCCCCCAGGCTAACGTGCAGCTCCAGGAAAAGCACTTGATGAGAGGAACCTCTGCCCAGTTGCTGCCTGGAAGGGCCTCCACGTCTGGGACTCCGTTTAGAGTGTGCTGCAGTGTGAGAGCTGCTGCCCTCTTGTGGGAATGAGCACAACTGCTGGGAGAAGCACCTGACTGCATGGGGGCCCCTGTCCGCAGGTCCCCAGCCACCTCAGCAGAGGGGGCACCTGTCCACACGGGTCCCCAGCCACCTCGGCAGAGGGGGCCCCTGTCCGCACAGGTCCCCAGCCACCTCCGCACAGAGGGGGCCCCTGTCCGCACGGGTTCCCAGCCACCTCCGCACAGAGCGGGCCCCTGTCTGCACGGGTTCCCAGCCACCTCTGCACGGGTCACCTCTGCACAGAAGCGTTACCTTTTGGTGTCAGCCCTGTAGTCTTATCCACCCACACAACCATCATGTCCTCCAAGATCCTGAAATTTCAGCCATAGTACAAAACCTTCACATCTAGATAGTGGCATCTGTGGGGCCATTTCAATTTCTGGAGTGACCCTGGGTGTCAGCATGGCGCTACAGAGAGAGCAGGCCAGGCTTAGAGGCCTTGGGCCCAGTGCCTGTTCTACTGTTCCCTAGTAATCTTACATTTTCTCATTTAAAGAAACTTGTTGGGCTAGCTGGTGGCATCGCGGTTCAGGCAGCCGGATCCCACGTGGCTGACTGGTTTGAGCCCTGGACCTGGTGGCTTGAAACTCATGCAAGGTACGTGTGTGTGCACGCCCAAGACCCCAAGGGGAGACTAGAGAGGGGACTGCAGCATGGCCATTCCCCTGGGGTGATGCCTCTGTCTGTGCCGGTTATCAGAGGACACATACCCTGTAGCAAAAAGAAGAAATTCTATCGAAGGGCTCCCTGGCCATTGCCATTTGGCGTGTCTAGAGAATGCTCGAGTTTGGAGAGGAAACCCTTTGGAGAAACGCGGTCTGTTTTAGGTACACGACTTACACATAGCTGCTCATCACAGCAGAGAGCACGCATTCTGCTGCAGGTCAGGGACCACCGTCCTCCTGCGAGGAGGCACCCAACCTCTGGGCCTACAGAGCCATACCCGGAAGCTCTGCTGCAGAATGTGGGCCCAGGCAGGACCAGCAATCCTAGTCTGCCCGTGTGCCTGGGCACGTCTTGCCATTCTCAGTCTATCAGTGACGGACGTGTCACCTGCTCCCTGTGCCACTGCAGGGTCCATGTTGGGGGTGGGGAGGCAGCCCAGGACAGCGCACACTTCTGCTCTGGGGCAGGTGCTCGGCCCCACCTGGAAAGGTCTGGAGTGACTCTACAGCTGGGAGCCAAGCGAGGGGCACGACCGTTTCATTTTTAAAAGCCATTTCCTCATACGAGCCTTCAAAAACTTCATGGGAAATGCATGCAAAAACTGGATTTCACATTTTTTAAAATACCAAACTCAAAACTTTGATTCCTTTTGTCCACACTTTCTGAAGTCTCCTCATACTTAAGTTTTCTCATGAAAAGTTCCTCCTTGAGAACTGCCTTCTGAAATTTCTTGGTCTCCAAATGATATTTCTAGTTTCGTCTGGGGAACCGTTTTCTGTTGGCCCCTAACACTGCACCGAGCAAGCTTTCTCTGACTAGAGCAGCGAATTCCAAGAGCAGACACTGCTTCGTCGCTCTCAGCCACCTCACACCCTCGCACTTGCTGGAAATAAACATCTCAGTGAGGTATTTACTACATTAGCCTGAAAACGGTTTCCCGCTTACATGGAATGTCACGCTCTGAAGTGACAGTCAACTGCAGGCAATAAATGTTTAGGGAGTCATTTAGTTAGCACGACCTTTGAAGACAGTTGTCGCGTGACCTTTGAAGACAGTTGTCGCGTATCCGGTCTCCTAACAGGTATAAACAAGGCTCCTTAGGGAATGTTTTCACTAAGGAACAAAGTAACGAACTAGCAGGAGAGTTAGCTACCACCTACGCATAGGCATCTTGTCAGCACCAGACAAATCCATCCCGACAAGGGTTTGTTAATAAAGGTGGCCCCTGGGCTGTGTCACCTGCCCCGGCACCACTCCAGTTATCTCCCACCACCCCGCTGGGCCCCATGCGACCCTAACCCTAGGGGCATGTCTGCGACCTCGCTAAGGAAGGCCACAGTGAACAGGGGATCCAGAATCAGAGCCTGGGCTTTCCCCCTTCTTGAACCGAGTACAGCTTTCTCCTCAGCACCTCCTGAAGGTACCCCACACGGAGAGGGCGGAGATGGGGCCACCGTGGTCACTTCCTGGTGCTCTGACCCGATGGTTTTCTTTCTATACCAGAAGCTCACACGAGGCAAGTCCTGTTTGGCTTCAAGATCTATTTCCTTTTCTACTTACCATCCGGTGTCATTTCTGGCAGGCAGGTTCTCGGACCCTGAAGCCGTAAACAAGGAAAGCCACGGAGCACCTGCAGCGGCGCCTGCCTCTGGACTGGAGCACGGTCTGCCTGGGAGACATCGCTGGGAGGAGCGTGGAGAGTCTGAGACAGGGCAGACCCAGGCCGCAGCCCGACATAGGGTGGTCCTCGCCGCTGCGCCCGAGACACCACCGCGAGGATCAGCCCGCTGCCTTTCTCATCAGAAGACATAGAGCCACTCTAGGTAACTTCCATTTAACTTAATATTTATTTTCATTTTATATCCAGATGTCACATTTTTACATTAAAATATAATCATGCTGATCCCCACCCCGCCCTCTATACCCTCAGAGAGAAAAGAACTTTACACAACTTGAAAGATGGAATGCACAGAGTCAGGAAGTCACTACGGCACCCAAAACAAAGACACAGAGCGAACAGGGGACACAGAGCTGCACGGGGCACGCGCGAGGCCGCGGGAAGGGCAGGACGAGAAACCAAAGCTTTCCAACACCATCACCGTGCCTCGAGACTACCTGAAGAGGCAGAGACAGGTCAGCAGCGGGACCCAACTGGGGCCGTGCCAGGCTGCTGTCCCACAGAGCTTCAGCTCCCCACGAACACGAGCGTCCTACTCCCTGCCTCGCCCGTGGCAGCTGGTGACACTTCAGACACTCCAGTCGCCTGAGCTGGCCAGAACGGAGAACGGGTGCAGGGCTGTGCGTCGCCCTTCAGTGTACCCCAACTCTTTCCAAGCAACAATTACTTCTGCTACTTATTTGCATTATGGAAACACAGTAAGAGTGACTGTGAAAAGGCCTCTCGCTCCCATCGGATTAACACCAGCTGTGCAGAAGTCGCAGGGCTGTGTGACTCGGGAGAACGGCCACACGGCAATCTCGACGCCTGGGTTCTGGAGAGGCTGACGAGGCTACCGCCGACTCTCCTCCCTGTACAGCCAAGGGCAGCGCACAGCCAACAGTGCTGGAGCAGCGGCAAAGACCCGCCGGGCACCAGAGCACTCAGGAAAGAGCCTCTTGGCTCTTCCCGACAGACTTCTCTGAGACCTGCGCTGGCCTCTCCCTGGGAGACTGGAGGATGGTAACTTCAGACAGAGACACTCTTGAGGGGTGAGAGGGAAGGTCGGAGACCTGGGTGAGGACGCCGCCAGGAGACTGCCCATACCACTATGTACAAATACATACACCAGTAAGAAAACTGCACTCCAGCCTGCAGCTACTTTAAACAAAGCACTGAAGACTCAGGTTTTCTGAACAGGGATATTCTAAAGTCTGTTAGCAGTTTAAAACCTTGCAACACTGGTACAATGTTACCTACTCTGTGTTTAATTACAGGGTAACACAGTAAACTCCAACACAAGGGTGGGGGTGGGAGAGTGCAAAGGAGCAGAGAGGACAGACCCAGGTTTCACAAGTGTCGGAACAGAGCTGCGACTAATGCTTCGCGGAGTCTCGAGGGTAAAATTCGCTCAGGGTGCTCTGGGGGATTCTCTTCAGCATTTCTTTGGGGAAAATTCGGAGTAGCTGCCAGCCAATGTCCAAAGTCTCATAGACAGTGCGGTTTTCGTAAGGACCTTAAAAAATTGAGAATGAATTAGGGCAGGCGAATTATTTCCACTTCAGCCTGGCGAGTATTGGTTGGTCTATGACTAGTAGCATGAGCATACATATAACAGACAAAAGTTAGGGCTCCTGAGTGTGCGCGCGACTGAGTGCGGAGATGAGGGGAGGGCTGGTGAGTACCCGGGGCATCAGAGATGGGGGCCTATGGGTTAGAGACGACAGGTGGCTGGGTGAGGGCAGCCAGCTCCCTGAGGCTGGCACAGGGGGAGAGAAGGCTGAATCTGAGTGAGGTGAGCACAGGCTGAGCCCACGATGCCGGCGGAGCACCTGAATATGTAGATAGGCCGGCAGTTTTCCTTTTTAAGAGGCATGTTTGCCGTAGGGAGCATGCGCTTGCTGGAGAGACAGAGAGCGAGAAATCACCCCCTCCCCTGTGGGTATGGCCACGCCAAAACCCCTTCTTCTCTTAGGATTTGGGGCATGCATGCACATGTGCTTGGCAGGAGTTTTAAGCCACCGGGTCCAGGAGGAGAACCACGGTTGACTACGTGGGAGTCCAGTGACGTAACCACTATGCCATTTGCTGGTCCTAGGCGAGTGGTGTTTTTTTTTTTTTTTTTTTTAATTAATTTATAGTACGTTCATTCGCTGAGCATCATCACAGCATAAGAAATGCGATTTCCCATCCAGAACACACTGTATGGTGGCTTAGTCATACATGTTATCACTGACAAGCAGTTTTAATTTCTTGTTTCTTATATATATTTTCCCCCTACTCTCACCCTGTCATTTCAAGATAGGATTATTTTCTAGCAGAATCTTTATCCTGTAAATCTTATTTTTTAGTGAAGGAATCAAGAGTGGCTGGAGTTCTGGGCTCTTCTCTAGTAACTTTGTTTCTGCTTGAACACTGAGGTTCGGCATTTCAGAAACTTCCAGCAGTTGGGATTTTAACACTAGTAACGTCATCGTGTAACTAGAAGGGTGCGCCAACCAAGCCTGAGCGCACGCCTCATACACTCCTCACAAGTACACACGCCTGCTGCACAGGCCCTGGAAGTCGGGAATGGCAGGACACAATGCGGGGACGGCTGACCAAGCCTGGGCTCAGGCTGTGTAAGCCCTCTTGTACTCTCTCTTCTTTATGGTTTTCTTACATCTTCTGTTGCCTACTATAGCGTAGGAATACAGCATTATAATACATGTCACAGACAAAACACGCAGGAAGGGACTATGTCATTGGAAGGGTGTCCAGTCAACAGCAGGCTCTTAGGCATTAAATTCTGGGGGACTCAAAAGCTATACATGGGGGGGCCAGCAGGTGGTGTGGTGGTTGAGGGCACGGGACTCCCACATGACCGACCGTGGTCTGAGTCCTGGACCTGGTGGTTTGCTTTCTCACTTTCCCTATCTTTCTCTCTCACTCTGTCCCTCTCTAGTCAAATTAAAAATAAAGTAATTCTTTTTTTCCTTTTTCTAAGAAAAGAAAAGCTATACATGAATCTTCGACTGCATAAGGTGGCCAGCAGCCCAAACCCCTGTATTTTTCAAGGGTTAACTGTGATGTATAGCATCCTACACCTGTCAGCTCGGGACGACTAACAGCATCAACAGTGTAAGTTTACCCGGATGACAGCACACAGGAAGTCAAGGAGACTGTGAAAGAACTGGTCATCAAGGGCCAAGCATGACAGACAAAGGTCTGGACCAGGGCCTGACCAGCATATCCCTCTGCAATGTGGGAGCCACATGGGAAGGTCTCGGGTGACTTCCTGAGGTCTCCTTGTAGTACATGGATGCTGGGCACATCGCCTGTGCCCACGATCCTGGCGGGCCGGGGGGATGGCAACGTGAAGATCCTGTCTGGGTGCCCCTCTCTTTCCATAAGATGAAAAGAGATGATTCAGAAAAGTCCAGTCCCAGAAGCTAAAGGAGATGGCTGTGCTGAGAATGGGCACGAGGCCAGCTCAGCAGGAGCCCCACTGGGAAGAGGGTTCAGAAATGCGATGGGGCAAGGACAGAAATAAGACGGCAGCCAGACAGCCGGACAAGCAAATGGAGCTCTTCCAGAGACACTCAGAAGGCAAGAAGGGGAAGGGGCCAGGCGTCAAGGCAAGACGCGAGGCAGGGGGAGCCTTTGCTCGAAACAGATGGAAAGCTGTAGAGACCAGTGCAAACTCCAGCTGGGAAAGAAGCACTCTGAACTACACCCGAGGAGGAAGACAGTCCCTTACCCTGAGCGATGAAGTTCTTCTCAAACTTCTGCAGGAACTCCAAGTAAAGAAGGTCATCTGAGGTAAGGGCTTCTTCTCCAACCACAGCCTTCATGGCTTGCACATCCTTCCCAATGGCATAGCATGCATACTGAAGAGAAGAGAGGTTTGTGAGTGCACAGGGGAGTGGCACAGGTGTCCGGTCATCTCGGACAGCGCGCGCTGCTGCAGTTTTTCTCACAAGACACCCAGGAACGCAAACACGATTCACGTGAAGTTCCCATGAAAGTATTCGAAGGACTTTAAGACACACTATTCTTACCCGGAAAGGAGGCTCCGGGCATGCAACACACAGACACAGTACTACCACCACCAAAAACACGCTTCCTTGACATGTCAACAGCTTCCAAGTTACAGGGCATTTGAAAATCAGAACTCATGGCTACACCACGGAGAAATCCATCTTGAAGCTCCACTCGAGAAAATATTTGCAATATACTTCTACTTTATGGTCTAAGTGTTCGTCTTTATTTGTGTATGATACAATCGATAGTTTCGAAGGTGATTTCATAGACTATATAAACCTGGATCCTTGTCAAGCAAGAAATATGTTAGAGTATCCTTTCAGGAATATTCTTAATCATCATTAAAATCACCAATAACATTAAATTATATTTTTTTCATGCAGAAACTATAGCATATGAGAAATGGGTCTTATGCTTATCACTTTTAACCTCACTGATTAGGAGCATCTTTTCTTCGGAGAAAAAGACTGCTCTGGCTCTAGTGAATGATCATACCCCACCAAGCCTACACTAAAACTCTACTTGAAAGAGGAAAAGACGTGAAAAAGGAAGTGGTTAGAGGTGAAGACAGTAGAAGAAGGGACCGAGAAGGAGCCCCTTTCTTTCCGGAGCCCGAGAAGGCACAGTACCAGCTGGTTCGACACGTCGGCGTGGTCCTTCCTGGTCATCCCCTCTCCAATAGCAGACTTCATCAGCCGGGACAGGGAGGGCAGCACGTTGATAGGCGGGTAAATCTTGGGTAGAAAGGGAGAGAAAAAGCTCAACATTTAAGGACAAAACTCAAGCTTATTGGTGACAAAGGAGCACTTTAAACTCATCACTACCCATTAAATTACACAAAACTGCTACATTTATTTACTAGAAATGTTCCATTATCTTTTCCTGGGAAGAAAAGGTGTAAAACATTTTACAGCATAATACTTCTTTGACAGTTTAATCTCAAAAGGTGAAATCTATGACACGGTACAAGGCTAATTTGAAAAGGTACAAATTTCAACATCTGTCCAGTACTATCAACGCATCAAATATAAATCATCTTCAGGACTGTGTGACTGAAAAATGTCATATGTAAAAAAAAAATTAGCAATAGTTCTACCTAAAAGCTGACTTTAGAAACCAGCATCTATTATGGAACCATCAAAAATCTATTTTTTCTATTAATCACAGGACTATCAGATTATACAATTACAGAATAGAATACCTCCCAGAATTCTGAGACGACCAACCCCATTTTAGAGCACAATAACGAAAAGTGATTAATTCTTAATTCTGGCACTGTTCCCACACCAGAATTTTAGCATACAAAATGACATCTTTATGGTTGTATTTTTTAGAAGTTGAAGGTGATACTTCCTAAGCAAAGTCAGCCCCGGGAGCAACGCCAGACCCCGCAGCCCCTGCCAAGCACACCTGCGGGCCCTGTACTATCTGGGAGCCACGCACCTGTCTGTTGTGCAGCTGTCTGTCCACGTAGATCTGCCCTTCTGTGATGTACCCAGTCAGGTCAGGGATGGGGTGCGTGATGTCTGTGAGGAGAGGACCAGTAGCGGTAAGTAGGGTGTTTTCAGTGTATGGACTCCAGAGCAGCCATATAACCACACCCACGAGAGGGCACCATGCGTCGGGCCGGCATCACTCAGGAGAGAACATGGAATGATTTTCCGTGGGACAGCAACGTTCTCTAACGCCGTCCCATCCAGTAGCTGCTAGCTACATGAGGCTACTGAACACCCGAAATGCACCTAAGGAGGCCGAAAAACTTCATTTCCAATTGTAATTCACTCTAACATCAATAGCCAGATGTAGCCAGAGGCTCTCACATCCGGCAGTTTGGTATGTCGGCCACAGCAGCTAGGCAGGTACCGGCACCACGGTACTGGCTCTACTCGTGAAAAGGACAGTCTCTCCTAGCCACGTGCTCTCCCCTCAAAAATTAAATAAAGTTCCACTTTAAACCCAGTTCTTACAGAAGTTCTCCAGCTCCGCATGTACCGAGAATCTTACTTCTCAAGCACTCACAGGTGGATGTGCACTTCAGCGTGCAAAACAGAGGGACGCCAGATGACGGAGACAGCTAGGCGGGCCACACTGGCTTGGCCACGTAAGCCCCACCGTCAGATCTGTTCAAGCGCACACAGAAACTGTGCAGCGACGCCCTTGGGGACGAAGTGCTCACGCTCACATCAGAGGCAGCAGAGGGTAACCGGAAATTCAGACTGGCTGGCTGGCTTCTAAGCCTCTCACCCTAACCACGAGCTATTTGATCTCACTGAGCCTTAAAGCACGCAGCACCCGTCCCAAAGGTGCTGCAAGATCCAACAAATGAATATTCATAAAGCACGCAGAATGGCGTCTGATTACAGTTGAGTTATTACTATTTTCCAAAGCATCTTTAAAAAGTGCTGCTCCAAAACTGAAATACAGATAAGAGGGTAGAACCTGAGCGGAATCATGAATAGTCTCACCCGGGAGCTGCCCTGCACACACTGACAGGTACTGCGTGTGGTCACAGGCAAGTCCTAACCAGCCCTTGGTGAAAAACTCAGTCTCTCAAGTCCTGTAGTCTTTACCCTGCGTTGGGCACTTATCATAAGCTATCTTGAATCACTAGTATACAACACACACATAAAAAAAATCCTCAACTAGATGGAGTAACTTACATTAAGTAGAGACTATAAATTCTTTTTTAAAAAGTTCTTATACTTACAACGGTGTCCTGCAAATGACAGGCACTCAACTGCACATAATAAATGAAAATTAGACATTTCTATCGCAGGGCCAGCCCCACAGTGTGAAGATTAAGGGAGCCTGATCCTTCCCTGAGCACGGTTGACCATGGTTGATCTCAGCCCAGCGGCTTAAACACCACACCAGGTACATGTGCACGTGTGCCCAAGGTCCTGATGGAATGGAGAAAAAGGACTGCAGCGTGACATGACCCACTGCATGCATGCATGCTCACTTGAGCGTGCACTCACTCTCTCTCTCTGACAAGCACACGTGTCCTCTGGCAATTAAAAACAAATTTAGGGCCAGCCCATGGCCTCATGGTTAAGGCAGCTGGTTCAAGATCCAGACCCCAAGGCTTGAAAAAAAATGCCAGGTGCACTGGGTGTGCCCCCAAAGTCCCAAGAGGATACCAAAGAAGGGACTATGGCATGGCCATCCTCCTAGGTAGAGTGCTTCCTCATTTTCCCTGTCTCTCTCCAGTGAGCGCATGTGCCCCATAGCAAAACTGGAAAAAAATAAAAATGAAAAAAGTTACAAATAAAATTGCTTTCCTTCTAAAAAGGCTAATCATGGGCACTTTTCAAATGAAAAATTTTATTTAGGGACAAGTAACTATTAAGGTAAACTTCTGAAAGATAAGCTCTCAAAAGAATCTCAGCTCAAAACGCGAGATGATCTCCTCCCGGAGAATGCAAGTTCCTACCGTTCTGAGGTCTGTTGCCATCCGAACACTTACCATCGTTAGGCATGGTGAGGATGGGGATCTGAGTGATAGAGCCATTTCTGCCTTCCACCCGCCCGGCGCGCTCGTATATGGTGGCTAAATCCGTGTACATGTACCCAGGGAAACCTCGTCGACCAGGAACCTCTTCCCTGGCTGCTGACACCTGACAGCAAGTCAAGGAGAAGAATGTCACACACCAGAATGTGGGAGTAAGCTTGGCTAGAACATGTCTGTCCAGTCATGCCAAATTACAAGGTCAAAAAATCTCATCCGGTTTACTCTTTATGCTGTCTTTAAGAGACCAAGAAAAGTGTCTTTGCAACCCAAATTCAAACGATTCTACAATAAATATGTTGACAACAGGGGCCGTAAGTTTGTTGCTAAAATCATACTGTCCTAAGTAAATCTTCAAACAGCTTGCGAGAGGAACATCTGCTTCCAATGTTATAAACCAAATAGAGCCAACTTTAAAACCAAGAGAAGATTCTTAGTCTGCGAGATTTATTTCATGCTGTGGAACTAGTCATATTTATGTCATTAATCCAGAAAAGTTCAAAAGGAAAAACATGGAATAAGATTGGAATAAGCCATTGTGCTTTGCACCCATTATTTAATTTAATCCCCAAAACAACTTAATTTTTAAGAAGTATTATTTTTAATTTAACTTCATTTATTTATTTACTTTAATATGACCAAAGAGGAACGGAGTGAAAGACAGAGGTGTGTGTGGGAGAGAGAGAGAGAGAGAGAAAGAAAAATTGAGAATAGGAAGCCACCAGGTCTGGGACTCAAACCACAGTCAGCCAGCGCCCTTAATCACCATGCCACCTGCCAGCGTCCTCGACTCAACTTTACAAGGAAGCTGTCACCAATTTACAGTTCAAACCAAGGGTCAGATAAATGTAACAGCTCCCCCCATCACAAAGCCAGGAGTCCTTTGCCTGCACCAAGTGAGAACACGCTGTCTTGCCCTCAGACACACACACACCAGGACATGAATTAACCTGCTACCGCCAAGGACACCAAGGTGCGGTGAAGTAGGACTAGGTGCTGCTCAGGTACCTCCAGGGCGTGCTGGGGCCGGGCTACCGACGGCAGCCCACACCAACGTGCACGGAGACCCCGGGGAAAGCAGGGACACAGGCAGACACCGCCACAGGTCTGCGATGCGATGTGGCAGAATCATTTTATGTCTGTTGAATCTAATAACAACAATTAAAAACCTGGGTTTGTATACTGGGCACTTTACAAAAGCACTGGTCTGTGCTGGAGGAGGAAGTGAGCAATCCTTCAGCGGAATGAGACACAGTAGCAGAGTGAGCTGCTGAAGCGGCTCAGGGAGTTGTGGGAAGCCTGACATTCCCACCGCCACGCCTCCTCGGAAGTCATCTTCCCCTTGTGCTTAGAAGAGAAGCTTGCTCAGAATTTCACTACATTGTGTAAGAACAAGTATCTCAAAACCTCTGGGTCATAGCTGCTAGAATCTTAACACTGTCCTAAATAAACACTGCTCTTCAGAAGAGGTTCTGAGACGAGTGCTGCTAGAGTATGGTCTTCACAACATCAACACCATTAACAACGGAATCCAGACATGGGCTACACACGGACAGAGCTTGTGAGAGAGAACAGAATAAAGAGTTTGCATCATTTACTCCTTTTCACACGGTCCTTCATTCAGGAAGACAGTGACTGTATGATAAACAAGTTAATCATTTAAATTTCCACCCAGCTGACAAATACAGAAGTGTATTTTCCTTTCTGATTAACTATTCCATTAATACATGAGCAAACGGTTTATAAAACATGATGAAAGAAAAATGAAAACTTGTAAAGGAACAAGATAATCCTGAAAAGTAACCCATTTTGTTCAACTGAGAAAAACAAGTAGTTTACAAACTTACCTCTCGCAGCGCTTCGGCGTAAGAACTCATGTCCGTCAGGATAACCAACACGTGCTTCTCACACTGGTAGGCCAGGAACTCGGCTGTGGTGAGAGCCAGGCGGGGAGTGATGATCCGCTCAATTCTGAAAGAGAACATCAAATCCCAGGTCACACAAACGGCAAGGCCAAACCCAGACCGCCCTGGAAACAACAGTGTTTCCCTTTTAAAGTTTCAAGTAAGTCGAAGAGAGTAAGATAATAATTACTTTAGAATTACTTGGTGCTACAGAGTTAAACTGGTTATTTCATAAATCCCCCATAATTTCTCAGAGCTATGTATGTTCTCAAAACCGAGGGGAGAGGATGATGGAAGGCGGGAGGGAAGAAATGGAAGCCAGATTTCTCAGGCACAAGGAAAATGCACAGTGGCACCACGGTGCTCTGCAATGCTGGATGCTCACAGAAGGCCCTGGTTTACACCCTGAGGCCTCCCTGCACATGCTAGGTGCACATGCTAGGTACACATGCTAAGGTGCACACGTATGCCTGTGATCTGGGATGCCTGAGGCTAGGGATGAACTGGGGTGTGAAGGTCCTGCTGGGAATGCCTATGTCTCTGAGACACAGAGAGAGAGGGAAAGTGAGAAAGCAAGCCACCAGGTCCAGGACTCGAACCGTGGTTGGCCTTGTGGGAGTGTCCAGTACCTCAACCACCATGCCACCCACTGTTTTTTTTCTTTTTTTTTCTTTAAACCAACTTTGAAGAAAAAAAATTACTGAGCATCAATTATGCGCTGGGAGATTACACATAAATCTCATTTGATATGTACAGCCAGCCCTGTGAGACAAATACTCTTTGCTACATTTATGCGCTGCAGAGCCTTAGATACTTTGTCTAAAGCCAATGAGTCACCAAGGGGCAGGGCTGGAATCCAAAGACAGGGAGGCCCACCTGCTCTCTCTGCAACACCTGAGCGCTCTAATCTTGGGTAGCAGCCTTGACCCTCAGTCTGAGCGAGCAGGAAGAAACAGCTCTCTTTACTTACGTTGGGTCATTAGCCAAGTTCAAAAAGAGGCAGACATTATCCATGGAGCCATTCTCTTCAAAGTCAGATTTGAAGAACCGGGCGGTTTCCATGTTTACCTAAATAGCAACAGCTTCATCAGTGGGGGAGAAGAAATACTTGGCATTTATTAGTATTTCTGATGAGGCCAAAGCTACAAGTCAGAACTGTTCTTCCTCCTAGTGTTTCAAGTACTCAATGCACTTCCCAAAGTCAACAGAGTAAAGAGCCTGCTTCAGGAAGAAAGAGCAAATGCTAAGTTTTAATGATGAGCTTGGTCCAAGGTGCAATTTCTCTACCTAGAGATTAACTCGACAACACACACGTAGTTTCCTACACCGTTCTAGCACACGAGCACTTAGCCTGTTGTACTATGTTGTACTATGACAGAACAAGCACTTAGCCTGTTGTACTATGTTGTACACATGTTGTACTATGACAGAACAAGTTTCTACTTACACCCATAGCAGCAAATACGATCGCGAAATTTTCCTCACTGTAGTCCACCACATCCTTGGATTTCTTTACCAAACCAGCCTGGCGACAGATCTGAGCAGCAATCTGATGAAGATTGTAAAAAACTGAGTTGAAAACTGAGATAACTTGTCTACAAGGTAACCTTTTGCAATCATAATTATAAATAAATTTAGGTTGATTGAGGGGACACAACCAAGAAACCTGTTTTGTATTTTTTGCAAAGATATGCAGGTGAGCGAGAAGACAAATATGCAGGGGTGAAATTTGGTGCAACAGGATCGCACGAGCACAAACGCTGGCTATTTATCCCAAAAGCCTTTAGAGTTTTCCAACAATGATGCATTTAGAAACTCTCCCATTACATTCCATGTCAGGCAGATCCCAGCCCTCACCTCGTTGTGTGGTAACCCAGCAGCAGAGAAGATAGGGATCTTCTGCCCCCTGGCAATGCTGTTCATGCCATCGATGGCCGAAATGCCCGTCTGAATCATCTCCTCTGGGTAGATCCGGCACTGGGGGTTGATCGGCTGACCTGGCCCATTTCCGAAAGGGGAAATTTTATATGTCTGCACATTATTCATGAGTGCAAGTAGAAACCAAATCAAATCAAAATTAAAAGGCACCACAAAATCAGAATTGTATGAAGTATTTCTCTCTACTCTTAAAAAAATCAGTTATTTATGAAATCTAGAACTTTTGAAATAATTTGTTAGTCTTCTGCACTCACAAAACACATGGTAAAAGAACTCAAGTCTGAAAGTGAAATAAAGACAAAGAGAAATTCTGACTTTAAGCCATAGTTTTACCACATACATTCCAGATCTAACCTTGTAATAATCTTAAGATATTACATTAAAATGTTCAGATAATTTCTAGGAAAAATCAATTTTTAATAAGATAATTATGTACTTCATTACCAATGGAGAATGTTGGTTATCTACTGATACTGAAGATGACACCACAGACACCACTCTAGCTGGCAAGGGTACAATACAGGAAGAAACCACTTTCCCTAAAACACAGAAATCCACTCTCAGCCCTACCCATGATGTCGAGGAAGTCTTCAGCCAGCACGACAGGACCTCTGTCGATGGGTTTTCCTGATCCATTGAATACCCGACCTGTATGACGGTAGGAAGATAGTATGAAGTATAAAGTAGATGGCAACTTTAAAATACGCTTAATATTTTTAAGAATTATTTAATTTATTATTATCATTACTATTAATTTTGGGGGGGAGAGGTTTTTGCAATAGGGCACATGCACTCACCAGAAAGAGACAGACGGAGAGATGGAAAGCGAGAAATCACCCCCCCCCCCGGGGAGATGGCCACACTGCAATCTCTTCTCCTCCACTCTTATCTTGGGCACGCATGTACATGTGCCCAGTGTGAGTTTAAGCCACTGGGTCCGGGACTCGAACCGCAGTCAACTACATGGGAGTCCAGCAACACAGCCATTACACCAACTGCTGGTCCCAATTATTATGAATTTACTATAGTGCACATGAGCTCAACAAAGAGAGACAGAGAGGGAGAGAGAGAGAAAGTGAGAAAGCAAGCTGCCAAATCTAGCCTTGAACTGCAGTTGACCATGTGAGAGTCCAGTGCCTTAACCACCATGCCACCTGCTGGCCCTATCCATAATTATTCTGAGTTTTGTTCTCTCACCGTGCTGTGATCCTCCCTCCCAGTTTTCTAGCCAGCCATAATCACAGGAGTAAATGCGCCTAGGAGCTCGCAGAGTAATCAGGTCCACTGGGATCCGAACCAGCACCTTCCATGGGGCTCTAGTATTGCACACAGGTGCCTAACTGCTTGCACTGCTGCACCGGGCGTATTCATAATTTTTAAAGATTTTATAGAAATATGCTTATAAAGAGACAGATGGAGAACAAACATGGACACGTGAGATGGTGTGACAGGAGGGTGGGGAATGGCAGAGGGTGAGAAATGGGAAAATATACATATAGATGTATACAGAGATATATGAGAAACTAGAAATGGAAAATTACTGACGATAACATACACGATTAAGCCACTATGCAGTATATGCTAGATGGAAAATCACATTTTTGTATGCTGTGACAATGCTCAGTGAATGAATGTAAATTAATTAATTAAGAAAAATATTTAAAAAGATCATATGGAAACTTGAGCGACAAGCTTCCACTTTGCCGATGATTTTATGATCTTGTCACCCGTTGTAATCACTAAATGGCGTTTTAATTAGCCGCTTTAAGTGATTTTGCTTTTTTTTTTTTTTTACTAAAAGCAGTATGTGCTTTAGTTTAAAAAAATAAAAGAAACAGATGTCTGCCCCAAATGAATAATTATATCTATCTACCCAGCATATCCTCAGACACTGGTGTTCGGAGAATGTCCCCAGTAAACTCGCAGGAGGTCTTCTTGGCATCTATACCCGAAGTCCCTTCAAACACCTGTCAGGAAAGAGAATCGAAGGTAGCAGAAATTTAGATTATGGGTATTTACATTTTATTTATCTATAAAACAGCCCTTGTAAAGTAAAATACATAAATGAATAACTTTTAATACAATGAACAAGAAAAGTTCATTGCGATGAAACAAATGTTCAATCTATAGACCAAGGATCATGCCTGCAGGCCAAACTCAGCTGGCATGCTATGCTAAAAACGTTTCTTTCTTTTTCCAACGGTTGTTAAAACACAAAGAAAGAGAGAAAGACTATGTGAGAGATCCCAGATTGCCCTGCAGGGCCTTAAAATGTAGTGTCCGGCCACTTCCTGCTCTAGACAACTTCCTTCCTTCTTTCTTTCTTTCTTTTTCTCTTTCTCTCTTTCTTTCTCCCTTTCCCTTTTTCTCTTTTTCTTTTTCAAGTTTGCTACAGGACACACATGCTCAGCAGAGACAGAGAGAGAGAGTAAGCAAGCAAGCACCCTCCCACCCCCACCACTGGGGGATGACCCCTCTCCAGTCTCCTCTTAGGATTTTGGGCATGCACACACAAGTCTAGTATATTTTTCAAGCCACTGGGTCCAGGAATGGAACCACCAAGTGGGATCAAGTTGCATTAACTACGACGACACTGACTGTCCCGCTCTAGGCAACTTTTAGGGGAATATGTTATTTGAGAAAACAATGGGCATTGTCCATAATCAGTTAACATTAAGAACTAAGAGACAATCCAAAGGAGAAGACTCAGATCTCGTTTGGATTAACCCTGTGACCACCGAGTTCTGCTCTTTGCCTCTCATCCTCCGCCTGTTTCACGTTATCCATTAAGAAGAATAGCCACTGGATTTGGTGATCTATGCAGCCTAAATCAGGAACACACATAATGTGTTCTGCTGCCTGAAGTTAATCTCTGAAGAAACTCATGCAAAGATCACGAGAAGAAAACAAGTAATAATGTTCCCTGCATGCTGGTGATTCAGAAGCAATTCCCCTGGCCAGGTGGTGAAAGCAATGCTCACCTGAACCACTGCTTTGGAACCACTAACTTCAAGAACTTGCCCACTTCGCTTCGTGCCATCTGGTAACGTCAAGTGGACTATCTCGGCGTACCTGGGAAACTAAAT